GTGATGTAATATGTGTGTGATTTCTATTAATAACAGAAATGGCCTTGCCCTTCAGTGGGAAAGGAGGTGTTCAGTAACTGATGCTGGAGAAATTGGTTAAAATCTTGAAAAAGAAAGAAAAGGGGCTCTTACCTCACTGCACACATAAAAATCAGTTCCAAAGGGATTAAGCACTTAATGGTAATATAAATGTTTGTAACACTTTTATAAGACAATATAGGAGAACATACTATGACCGTTGACTAAGAAATAGTTCCTTAAAACCCCAGAAGTGACAGACAAAGCAAAAGCCTGACAAATTCTGCTCCATTAAAATTCATCAGCAAAGGCGTAAATAAACGGACGCAGGAGCCACCCACGGGAGGAGGTGTTTTCAATGCATTCATCTGACAAAGGACTGGTGTCCAGGATGCGTAACCGACTCTCCCAAGTCGGTAAGAAGCAGACAAGCAGCCAGATAAAAATGAGCAAAGGGTCTGAGCCTGGAGGAGAAACAGGACCACCCAGTGGGGAAGCTCCCAGTGTTCGGCCGAAAGCAAACTAAAACTGTAATTAAAAACGCTTCCCACACCTGTCCACACTCTGATACCATGGAGCACTGGTGAGGCGGCAGGAGGCTGGGCTGGGGATGTAAACTCTGGGGGGATTTTGAAGGGAGACTCAGCGAGAAGGAGCAGGGTTGAGATGCGGATCCACGTAAGTGACATCCAGACTCCCCACCGCGGCCCACGTGGACGGGTGTGCACGTGAAGTGGACTGCTGAGGGCTCCACACCTTGACCCCTGGGCACCTGTAGGAAGTCTGAGATGGGGGTGGGTGTTGGACTCTTCCTCACGGCCATGTTTGTAATTCTGCAAACTACCTGGCGTGGTGGAGTGAACAAGCCAGGTGTGACAGATTCAGACAGTGGGGGACACACAGCCGTGAGAGTGGGTGAACCGCCGGGAGCGTGGCTCTCTGGGACTTCACAGGAGAGGAGACGGCTTTGGAGACAGCATTGCAGAATGCCAGCACGGGTCCAGAGCATCCCTCGGACTTCCTTGCAGGTGTGGGGAAAGGACTTGAAATTCCAGAGAGCAGGAAACACGGTGACATTTCACCCAGGGGTGGGTTTGAAGAAGGTCACTCACGGGGCTTCAGAAGTTCTGTTTTTTTTTTAGCCTGGGTGGTAGATAATCCAGGGTTCATTGATGGCTAATACTTGTATCTTACATATAGTCTGAAGAGTCTTCTTATCTACTGAGTAATAAAGGAAGGACACCCACCCAAGTCCCACGTCCCGTGATTCAGTTAGCCTCTGCTGCATAAGCACGTGCTAGCTGGAATTATATATTTGTGAACTAATTCTCGCATAAAATTAGAGTTTGAGGACTTGACGGCTAGACTGGCCATTTTCAGTGTTAGCAATTATCTTGCAACCAGTTAGAATCTATACCAAATGTCATTTAAATCTTTCCCACAATGCGCTGGGTAAGGAAAAGCAGCCCCTACGGAAGCATCTGTGGAGGTTTCTCTTTTTCAGGCGTGGGGTTGCCTGTAACACTGTGAGTTGGCAGACAGCCCTGGGTGGGCGGTGCGGGGGGCGTGCATTTAATTCACGAGGAACACGGGGCAGCCCGGCCCTCTGGGCACACCTGTGGCTGGACCGTGCGTACGAGGTCACACACGGCTCTGATTTCACGGCCCAGAGATGGGAGACCGTTCTGCTCAGACCTGCGGGGGGCAGGAGGAGAGGAGAGAGATTTGGGGTCTCCAGGTGTGACTCTCAGGGTTCATGCAGGGCTGGGCAGGACACTGACAGTGCTTTGCCCCATCCTCTGTGTTTGCTCCATCCCAACCGCCCCTGCTGGCGTGCAGCTGGGCAGCTGGGGACCGGCAGAGGGCACTTACTGGGACCACAGGGCAGGTCTGGGTGGGCTCCTGCAGACTCACTCATCTCCCCACCCACATCCCCAGGTCCACGGCCATCACGTCCTCACCTTGATGGCTGCGAGCGGTGCCCAACCGCGTCTCACCTGCCTCGCTAATCTACGCCAAGGTCCTGGACAGGAGCCGGGGTCCAGGCGCCCCAGTCCCCACCCACGGCTGACCCGCTCCGGATGCACGCCCTGCAGCCCTCGGTGCTCTTCGCAGAAGGACCCCGGGAAGGTGAGCTGATGTGAGGTCTGCACTGGGGCTGGAGGCAGCTAACCAGAGGGGTCTCTGTGGCTGCCTCGCTGCGGGGGCTGTGAGTGCTCCTCAGTGCTCTTGGCCCTGGAAGGGCTGGGGTGGGCTCTGCCCCTCCTGGCCCCTCTGGGGGTCTCAGTAAGAGTTGGTGCCCTCACGCCTCACTTGCATAGACTACTTAAGCTGTACAAGTACAGTTTTGCTTAAAAAGCTATAATCCCATGAGTACTTAGCGATCCAGACCGTGGTTCCATCTGAAAGCATCCATGTTTTTCACAACCTGCGACCAGACCTGCTGATTACTCCAGACCCTCACCAGGCAGCCGAGAGACCTGCAGTGATGCTTCCTCTGCGGGTCATCACCCTCCTCACCAGTCTCATTGGGAACTCTCCCAGCGGCTGGCTGAGATCTGGGCTGTGGGACACAGATTTTATCTCCTGGCTAAGCCTTCTCACCCCGTGACATTTTCACTCTGTTTTACAGACTTCCAACCAGCTTCATCTCTACCTAATCTCCCTGAAATGGCTTCTGGTTCATCACTGAAAAGCCTCCAGGGAGAAGGGCTGTGTGCTCACTGTCGCGCACGGACCCCGCTCCCCCGTGCCTTGTGGGCACCCAAGGGATGGAGGGTCACAGGTCAGCCATCTGCATCAGAAGAGAGCTCCGCCCTGCGCTCACGTCTGTGGTGCTGTCCTCACGGGGGCGGTCACTCTCGGGTTTCTGCTTGGCCGTGCGTGGCAGTGTGGTGGGGAGGTGCCCGGCTTGGGGCCAGGCTGGCTGGGTCCAGATCCCAGCCTCACCAGTTCCTGCTGCGTCACTTTGGGGAGTTTGCTCGACCTCTCTGTCTTCCCGTGTCTAAGGCGGGGCTGAAGACTCTAGCTGCCTCAGGCTTGGTGTGAAGATGAGCAAGTTAGACACAAGCGAGTGCATGTAAAACCGAGGGACTGTGAACAGGGTCAAAGGCGTGTGCCAGCACTGCCGTCGGATGTGAGGTTGCGGTGAAGCGCCTTTGCTGCCCGGCGCCACGGGAGGAGCTGGGTGAAGGGGGCAGGGGGCTCTTTATGACCCCTTACCTCTGCGTTTGTCGTTGTTCAGTTGCTAAGTCACGTCTGACTCTTCACGACCCCATGAACTGCAGCAAGCCAGGCTCCTCTGTCCTTCACGACCTCCCAGGGTTAGCTCAAACCCATGTCTATTCAATCAGTGATGCCATCCAATATCTCATTCTAACCTAGAAGTATCTCAAAATAAAAAGTTAAATAAGAAAACCCAACCTTGATGGCTTGACAGGTGAGGTCCACCAAATTTTCAAGCAATAGCTGGTGCCAACCTCAGGAAAGTTGTCAGAAAACATAGAAAGAGCCACATCCGCCCTGCTCATTTTATATGGGTCGTGGGATCTGGAGTAAATTACAAACAGATTAAGCTAGCAAAAGAGTAGAGATTTCTAAGCCCATTTCATCGATGACCACAAATACAAAAATCCTAAATAAAATAGGAACTCACCAAAACTGACAGATAATAAAGCATAATCCCTCATTAAGGAGCTGAGATAACCAGGGATGCAAGGATGGTTCCCATCAGATAAGGCAGCTCACAACGGGCCACGGGCAGGCGGTCACACCCTTGCCTACGTGTGTCGCTACCAGCTGTAATGGGGTTCTGCACGGATTCAGCATAGTTTGCTCACAGATGTTGTAGATTTAATAGCTTTCCCCAGGAGAATGTTGGCAGAGTGAAAGAGGGGGCACATGTCGCGTTTCTTTCGGGGGGAGGGGCCGGTCTTGTGTATTTCCTTGGAAGCTCGGAGGGCCTAATCCGCCCCCCCGGCCCCGCGCTGCTCAGAGGGGGAACCTGGCGCGTTTATTCTCTGTTCTGGGGGTCTCGTCAGTGGACACGGGAAAAGGCGGCTTGGCGTTTACAGTCTTGTGATTTTCTGCGGACCACCTGTTCCGATTCCGTGGAGGGAGCTGCGTTCGCACAGGCGGACTCAGACCTCAGCCTGGAGCCCGCTGGCGGCCCGAGGTCCCGTGGAGGCGAAGGGGCTGATCCAGGCCGCGGAGGGGCGCGGGCCTAGGACGGCCTTCAGGTTGGTCCACACGGACGCCTGGCCCGGCTCGCCCGGCGGAGTCTGCGGGTCGGTGAGGATGCTGTGCATTTGGATCGTGAACATCAGGCCAGCGAAGAGGAAGCCGCTCAGCGCCACCACGAAGAGGAAGAAGAGCGAGGCGCGCGGGCGCACGGGGGTCTGCAGGTCCCACTCGCCGCGCGCGTAGGCGCAGAGCGCGGGCACGGCGAGCAGCAGCAGCGCGTGCAGCGCGGCCAGCGCCGTGTAGAGCGTGAAGAGCACGAAGAACTTGCGGTTGTCCTCGCCCACGCAGTTGTTGACCCACGGGCAGTGGTGGTGCGCCTTGCGGATGCAGCGCCCGCACACGAGGGGTCGGTGAGCATGGTCCGCGCGTGGGAGGCCAGGGCCAGGAAGGCCAGCAGGTGGAAGAGCGAGCCGTGCACCGCGCTGTAGGCCGGCCGCCGCGCCGGGAGCAGCCAGGCGCTCAGCAGCAGCGCGCCCTCGCTCAGCGTCAGTGCCCATGTGGCCGAGGCGCACACGATGCCCAGGGCGTCGGGCACGAACCACATGCAAGGTGCGCTCGGCGCAGCGCCCGGGCTCCGCGGGGCCAGGCCGGCTGGACCCCGAGTGCCTGAGCCTCCGCCCTCCCCTCCCGGGCTCCGCCTGGCTCCGTCTGGGACTCCCCTCCTCCCTGCCGCAGTGTTCTAGAATGTGCCCTCCAATGGGGGCTTTGTGAACACAGAAAGGTGCCCCCCCTTGACTGGGAAAAGCCCCTTCCCGGCGGTGACTCTTCTGTTTGGGGTGAACGGGGCGTTGGCCCTTCAAGGAGGCGGAGGTGGGGGCTGGGGGCGTGAGCCGGCTGTTGCACGTGGCCCTTTTAAGGTCCTCGCAGGAAATGTGGGCGAGGAGGAAACGCCGGGGCGCCTCTTGTGTGTGCGTGTTGGGAGCACACGTGTGTTTCCGCCACGGAGCTCCTCTGCACACTAGCTCATTGATGCTCACAACTCTGACAGCACGAAGGTTTACTCCCCAGTTTGCAGATGAGAAGCTGAGCCGGGGATGGGGTGAATGGTCTGTGAGTGGCAGGCCAGGATCCCAGCCGGCTGCCCCTGCCCCCAGAGGAGCTGCACACAGCGGATCAGGTCTGCGCTCCGCCCTGTCTGCCTCCCGCGGTCAGGACGCCGCACTGGGTGCTCAGCCACCGGGGAACAAGAGGTTAGGATGGGTTCGGACGGAACCAAGGGCCGGCATTCGGGAAGGCCCGCTCTGGACTCTTGGTCTAAGAAGTGGGTCCTGAGAAAAGACAGCTGCACGGAGGCCAGGGTGGCCGCCCCCCAAATGCCCACAGCAAACAGAGCGAGGAAGGCGCTGGGTCTGAGCTGAAAGGAGGCTGCCTGTGAAGGGCGCGCCCGCCTGGCCGCGTTAGTGAGAGTATAGCACCCAGGGGGGTGGAGGGGACACGGCTGGGCGAGCGTCGCCATGAGCAGCACTCCTGGTGTGAGGGGCTTGCGGGGAAGAGCCGCTCAGGAGTGGCCGCGCCGGGTTTGGAGGCGACGAGAAGCGGGGGCGGTGGTGGGGGGGGACTGGAGCCCAGGACGGGGTGCAGAGCGGGGGTCAGCGCCCACAGAGGAGGGTGTTGCTGGTGATCCGGGGGCATCCCAGGGTGAGTGGACGCTCTGTCTCAAGAGGAATTCTAGCGCTTTCCGGGTGCCCCGTGGACCTCTTGGTGTCAGACGATGAGTCAGGCAGGACGACGGTGCTGGTCTCCCTCAACCGCGGGGGCTCTGAGGTCATTGTCCTGTTCTTCTGACGGTCACCGTGCTGACGAGAGGCCCCGGAGCCCACCTGCCACACCTGGCGCCCAGGTGTCAGAGAGCCGCCGGGCGGTAGGGGGTGTGCCTCGCCGGCACAGCTCAGCCTCCTTGCTGGGAGGGCCTGATGTGCCTCTTTGTTTATTCTGTCTTAAAATAATTACCAGACTTCACAAGAGTGGTTTTCAGTTCACAGCAGAACTGAGCAGAAGGTACAGAGACGCCTCGTCTCCCCGCCCCTCCCCGCCGCACTCAGAGCCTCCCCACCAGAGGGGACGTTTGTCACGATGGCTGCGCCCACACCTCCTTGCCGTCCGTCGTCTCCCAGAATCCACGGTTTAGGTCGCGGTTCCCGCGTGGTGTTGGACATTCCGTGGGTTTGGGCGCGTGTGCAGTGACGGGGTCAGACAGAGAAGTCTTCGTGCCCGAGAAACCCCTGTGCGGGGCCCTTGCCCCAAGCCTGGTGGTCCTGGTCTTTCATGGCCTCCACAGTTTTGCTTCTCCAGGAGGTGCTCCCGTGGGAAGCATGCAGTGTGCAGACGTTTCAGATGAGCGTCTTTTACCGGCTGGCACGCTGTTACGTTTCCTCTGTGTCTTTTGATAGCTTGATGTCTGTTGTGTGTTTTAACTGAAAACCAGATGCTGAAAACAGAATGGGGTGTGAGCAATCATGGCAGGTGATTTGGGGAAGAGGGAATAAAGGACTCTAGGAGAAGCCGGGAAAGGTCAGGCGCCTGCCTGGAAGGGTCAGCTCTGGGTGGAGAGGAGCCGGGAGGGCCAGCGAGGGGGATAGGAAGGGGGTGCGGCTCAGCGAGGCCGGGGGAGCAGAGCTCTTGGGAGCAGAGCCCCTTCAGAGCCGCAGGATGGCCTGATGTGTAACCGAACAGTACCCCATGGGGTCTTCTTTCTAGATAGACCCCCCACTCACGTGTTCCACCTACCTTCTGTCCGCAGAAAAATTTTAGTTCCAGAATAAATTCAGTCACAGAAGTGAGAACACGCAGAAAGGAAATCCATCAACGAAAAGTAATACTTCAGCTGTTGAGCAAAGTCAAGGACCTTTAGTTCCTCTTCAAGGGCTCTAGGTAACGCAGCAACGCAAGTGCCCGTACAGACCCCCGGCTGCCCGTGGGCCGCGGGCGCTGGTTAGCTGGAGCCTCAGGTGTCCCTGAAGAAAGGAAGCCAGATCCAGGGTCTCTGCGGGCCGGGGGCCGGGGGCAGCCTTGGGAGGGGAGGACCGCAGACCCGTCCGTCTGTCACGCTGCCCCCTCGGGATGCAGCGTCCTGTGCTGTAGCTGTGGACACATCCCGCTGGCCGGAAGGCCATCCTCGGGGTGCGTCCAGGAGGGAGGGGAGCCCCGGGAGGGTGGCTGGGCGGGTCAGGACCCTGGGCTTTGTCAGGACGCCCCCCACACTCTCGCTCTGGGGCATCCCGCCCACCCTGCTGACCCCACCCTGCCGGCCGCCCACCCTGCTGACCCCACCCTGCCGGGTCAGGGTCCCACGTCAGCCTCTCAGCCTCTGCTTCTCTGCAAAGTGGGAGGCTCCCCTCTCCCGCCGGACGTGGATCCTGGCCCAGGTGAGGCCGGGTCTCCGGGGTGTTGTTCCCTCTGCCTGTCCTTTGCTGGCCCTGTGTGTGAAAGGGCTTTCCCCCATGTGTGTGAGGAAGCCCCAAACTGAAAAATAATACTTGCAATTAGGAAAAGGCTCTTTTATCCCAAGCTTAAAAAAGTTTTCCTTTTTCCTCATCAGGAGATGTTGATTTTAACCAAACAGCTTTTATGAATCTGATGATGTCCCCACAGCTCTCATCCGACTCTCAGCCTCCCCCGCAGCTTCTGTCTGCCGTGCCCCAAGACGACCCTCGGGTCGGCACGGGCCCGGTCAGCCCCCAGCCTCCGTGCTCGGCGCCGCACTGAGTGCTCACTGACTTGTGTGCGGGCTTGGACCGTGGCTGCAGCCCTCCTCCTCTCTCCTGTCCTTCTCTCTGTCAGATTTGGGGATGAGAGCCGTCCCAGCCTCGGATGCTCTGGGCTGTGCTTCCCGTTCTCCCAGCTGGGGAGCGGCTCCTGTCTTGTGGCTGAATATTTGCAAGCTCTCCTCTGTGAGGCTCTGGGCTCGCAGCCACTGCTGAGGTGGGTTTGGATCATCTTTCTGCCTGGCTTCCTGCCTGGTCCGGCTCTCTGCGCGTGGAGCCTCCTTTGGAAGATGGCACTTGGCTCCCCGGGACTCCCTTTCCTGGGATCAGCGTGCTGGCTGCGTGTCCTGTTGTGATGAAATGTCTTAGCGATTTCAGGCTCTGTTTTCTTCTCCATTGGTTTTCGGAGGTTTACCTGCTTTCTTGTTTTTTTTCCCCCCCCAAAGAACTGGCGATTTTTCAAAGATCTGAAGTTCTAGTTGTGCACGTCTCCGTGAGCGCCTCCCTGCTGCTGCTCTGGTTCTCCTGGTGACTCTGGGAGCTTTGATTCAAAACCTCCATTTCCCTTTCTGCTTGTTGAATCTGACGCCTGGGGCCTCCCTCTGAATGGACGGTGGCGCTGCTGTTTGCATTTCCACTCACTAAACTCTTCTTGTTGTAATTTTCAGAAAACTTACTGTTTGGAATATTGATTTCCTTTTTAAACGCAGAATTATTCATGTATGTGTTCTAAATTGCATATGGTTGGACTTTTCCCTTAAACCTTATTCATTTTTGTGATGTTTCCTGGTGTTAATTGTACTGTCTAGAGATAATAAGACTTGCAGTTTCTCTCTGTAGCAATTTACTGTGGTTTTTATTCTGGGATCTTATTTACGATCAACATTTGCAAACCCTTCATGAATTTTGGAGGAAAAGCGTGTGCTCTGTCTGAACAGGATATTTATTAAATCAACCTTATTAATCATTTTATTCATTTTTCCCTACAATCACATCTATTTCTGTCCGTTTCAGTGTTTGAAGATTGAATTGTAGGTTCGATTCTTTCACCCTAATTGCTTTTCTGTCAAACCTGAAAATATTTTTATTCATCTTTGGTCTCATATAAAAATTTCAGTGCCTTATTCTTAAGCTCATCCAAGTTCACTGTAGTGGTTTCGTCATTCGGTCGGGCTGTAACTTTTGTCCATGTGAAATGATATTTGCTCCGTCCACTGTGTCTGCCTCTGGTCGTCGGCGGGGAACCCGCCGCCGCGAGTCCTGTCCCCTCAGGCAGCGTCCAGCGACTTTGCCAGCAGAATCCGCGTGGATTTTGGGTGGGACTGGCGTGTTTTCCTGAGGTCGCTTAGTGGTGCAAGAAATGCTTTAAAATCCAGCGGCTCAGCGAGCTGCCCTCCGAGCCCTTATTCTGTCCCGAGACTGAAGGGGTCTCGTCAGCACAGTCCTCCCAGGCGCCGTGTCTGTTTCCTGGGTTGGCTTCTCTGTGCGGCGGGGACTTGTGGGCGTCTCGGCCCTTGCTGCCTGAGGTGGAGGGGACAGGATGCGTTGCTCTGAGTGGACGCCCCCCCCTCCCCAACACAGGGGATGCTGGCGGAACCCCAGCTTGGTCCCTGGGCTGTGAGGGCAGTCAGGTGCCCGATGGGAGTCTCTGACCTGGGGAAGACCCCCGCTCTCCCCACGTCCTGACCGCCGTCCCCTGAGGCAGGAGTGACGCGTGCCCTCGCCCCAGGCCGCTGTCCCCCTTCAGCTTCTCGGGTGGGGGGTGCCCCAGCCGGAGCCGTGCCGCGCTCGCCGATGTCCAGGGCATCCGGCTGCCAGGCCCTAGCGCTTCAGCTGTTCATAGAGCCTCTGCCTGCGCGTGGCTTTTGGGTCCAGAGAGAGGCAGTGGCTCAGATTCCCAGACGGCCCCGGGGTCACTGACGGGCCCAGGTCCTCCCTCCCCCACCACCGCCCGCCGCCGAGCCCGCAGGCAGGCTTCCGAGACCCACCCGTCCCGGTCTGATTCCCTGCGCGGCAGGACACGTTGCTTCCCACCTGCATGGGCTCAGCTTAGCCAGGGAGGGTGCGAGAACACACACATCTGGCTCTGCTCGGGGTCACGTCGGG